CTTGGAGGAAGTGGCGCTTGAATATCAGCCAGCTCTCCTGGACCCCCTTTCCTTCTAGGACCCTGACCCAGGGGACTGCTCCAAGGAGCTCCCTGAAGAGGTTGAAGTTGGCTCTCTTGAAGTCCAGGGGAGCTATCCTACTTCTCGCCCCACTTCCCCCACACAGGATCATGAATTCCAACATCTTGTGGTTGCTGCAGCCCAGGCTGCCCCCAACCCTCACATTTCCCACTAGACCATAACTTAGATATTTTTAGACTTTGAAATTTATAGAATTCATACTTGATGCTTGTATAAAATATGATGGAAAGCAGAAATATAACACGTCTTTTTTATGCCTCTAAGCAAGAAAAATCTGTTCTTTTAACCTGTGTACACTCTGTGTACTATGTGAGTGTACAGCCGGTCTGCAGCTCAAGCAGCCAAAATTAAAATGCTCCCCCCATGACTTGTGAGTTTTGCTCTCATCTGGTAGAGCTAAAAGTGACATCAATTGTCCTTCCCTAGATGCAGTTTTGATCTGCAGGCTTCCACAGAGCACACTGAATATATCCCAGTATAAGAAATAAAAAAGCAGAGAATAAATAAATAGCAAGTCTTAGACCATAAAAAATAACGAACGTTCATTTCACACTACTCCATTCCAAAAAGCATTCTCACCCATTTTAAGAAAAGCCAGCTTTATTTATATATTTATTTATTTAGGTTGAAATATGTGCACGCTACCACAAAAGAGCATAAGCAGGAAAAATGACATTTTCTCCTCTTTGGGAAAAAATGAGCTTACCTCTCTAAAGCCCTAACAAAAACATCTCCATAATAGGCAGACCATCATTGATAAGGGAATTTGCTTAAACAAATTCTAATTTATAGCTGATGATTTCAGGCTAATTTTATTGAATTCCTGAAGGAATTCAGGAGGAAATCGAACATGCATAATATATGACCTGACAAAAATACAAGTAACCTGCTTTATTTAAGCATCTCTATTTGTTACCAGTGCTATAGCAGTAATGGCATTCTGTCCATTATTTTAATAATGAATATATTGATTAGCTTAACTCACATCTTCACTAGCCCCTCATGGGGCTCATCCCATCTCCATGGGATGGAGAAACACAGACTGTTTAAATTGAAAGGTGAAAATACAACAGGAAATCATTGTTGCATTAGTAAAACTAACATTAATATCTGCTATTATAGAAACACTTTTTTATTGTCATTTTAATGAATTTCACTGAGAAAGAGTGTAGTTAAATGAATTCAGGGTGTTTCCTGAACAGAAGGCTTTGGAAGTTGGATTCTGACACTAAGCTTTAAAAGCAGGTATCAGCTAAGTCACCAGAACCAGTAACCTTTCAGGCAGCAATTGCACTCCTTCACAGGCAGTGCTTTCATTGTTTTCATGCGAAAGGTTTTCCAAGTTTTTTTTTTTTCATAATTAATTTATGCAAATTTTGGCACAGAAATGACATCTTTTTCAGATGCCAAGAATCAATGGAAAAATCCAGTCTCTATACCAGGTTAAAACAAAGAGCGACTCTCTGGGTGTGCAGGGGACAGGGTGCAAAGTGCCTTGTCCAAACAGCGCTTTGCGTTTCTGTTGGAGCAACCACTTGGGCTTCATGGACATCATTTTTGCAGATGAGTTCAAGCTTCTGGCACAGATTCAAGCACTAAGCAACTTCCATCTGAATACTACTCTTAAAACTTTTAAAACCAATCTTGGCAATGAGGTGCACTCTGAAGTTAAGAACCTGCTTTTTATTTCTACTACAAATTTCTGAGGGATTCTAAATGGTCTTTTAAAAGAAAGAGAGGTTAAAAATCAGTAGAAAACATTTTAAAATTACAGTCTTTAAGGGATAAAAATCATCGCACAATATTGCTTCAGAAAAGGGTATAAAATTTTGTTTGCATTCATCCTTCCCTTAACCAAAGCCAATGAGTTACACTGCTTGCGCACAAGGTTCCCTTGCTGAGAGTTTTCCTCTTCTCCAAAAAGGAACTTACCTGAGCCGATTTCTAACTTTTCTTAGCGCCCTCCCCCCCACAAAAAAAAGCAAAAACCACAGTAAACCTTCCCAGAGAAATGGGCATTGTATGGAGAGAGAAAGACCAAAGCTGACAGTTCGGACCATTTAAAAGGCTGGGCAGAGTAGAGAGTGATGTAGCTCATTTACTGAAGACTGCTTGCCAGAACTAAGATTCAGGAGAACAAAACCAACAATCAGCACAGTCTCTTTCTCAAGTCCAAAACTCGAGCTACTCTTTACTGTCACAGCCAAAACACTGAGAGGTAAACTTCAGCCCTGAGCAGCAGCCCAGAACTCTGGAAAGGCCCTACTTCCAGCACTAGGCTTCAGTTTTAAGCAAGCTTTTACATCTGACTTTCATATCTGACACTTTTACATTTTACCTGTTTTAGAAACATTTTTCTGAAGTTCAGGAATGAGCTAAACTATTCATTAGGACACAGCCTTTGTACGTCTGCTCCTCTAAAAGGAAACTTTTAGAGCAACAGAAAGTTCATAGTGCCTAGGAAAGAAAAAAAAAAAAAGAGAGTAGCAGAATCCTAAGCTGCAAATACAGCTTTTGTCAAAGACAACCTGAAGTTGTTGGAGTTCTGTACTGATCATCATTCCCTCCTTCTCTGTAAGATACCTTTGAAGGTTAGGCAGGGTGACCTAATTTCAAGGGTTATATTTTGTTCTTTTTTTCCACAGGGGATCAGAACACCTACAACTAGAAAGGCCTCACATTAAACTACAAAAGTGCTGCAGCATAGGAAGAGGAAAGAAACTGTAGCTTAAAAAAGATCTGAAGTGTTCTAACTTTGATATGAAGAAATGATGAGATGGTGTGAGCAAAGATTTCTGCCTGCACATAACTGCATGTGGGAGAGAGGATAAGCAAAATGGAAAAGACAGAAGCAGACCTATTTTGTAAAGTCACTTTGCACCTATTTATGATGCTTTACTTCAATGTAACACTTCTCATCCCTAACAGTTTTCAACACTTCAGCTGATAGGTGAGTGACAGAGAGATCACTTAGTCCATTGCTGATAGCTTGCTACCTTCATGATGAATTCTGAGGACTTTAGAAAAACCCTTTAGGACAAGATACAATATTCATTTTTTATGAGAAGTAACTTATCCACATTAAAAAAATATTTCTTCGCTCTAGGAAGAAATGTAATGTTTTCAAATATTCAAATATGTTTCAGATGGAAGGAGCCTTATTGCAATTGCTCAAAAACCCTTATCTTAGCTCCACCACTGTCTTTAGATAAAGCCCTGAATGGATGCCATGCTGAGGCAAGGCAACATCTAACTGGTTTCCTGAATCTTATTGGGTAGAATGAGCTTTATGATTTTACACCTGCTTTATGCTCCCTGTTAGAGCCAGCTGGCTGGAGCAGACCTCAAACACTTCATCTTCTCCATATCAAGGATTCCCTATTTTAGCTTTCTGGCAGGGGGGAAAGTAAGGAAATAAGGGGGTGCTCTATTAAGTCTTGGATGTTTTGTCCTCAGTGTTTCAGTGATATTACTGAAAACCCCAGGTGAAGTGTTGAGCAATATGCACCATATATATGACTTCTTTCTCAACTGCTTGATCAGTAAGTAGAGGGGAGAGGTTAAAAAAAAAAGAGGACTATACCACCTTTAAAATATAGCATTGTATTTTATTAGAAAAGAAATCCTCCACTTTGGCATTCTTGGCCATTAGATGAAGATGATCCCTTGAGAGCCCATGTTGCCACCACCTCCATCACTCTGCTACTGTGAACAAGTGCCCAAAGTCAAGCCTGGCTGCATATAGAATTTATGGACTTGTCACAACCGCAGGGTTCCCAGGATTTTAAGAAGTAAGACGTGCCATGCTTTCTTTCTAACCTTGACTTGCTCACTATTTGCTCTCTAATAACTCCTTTGGGATGAGGGAACACAATCCACTACAGCAATATTTGCAATACAGCAAATAGTAAAGACTGAATTTCATTTTCTGGTACAATTCCAGACTTCAGATTTCTCCACCCAGAAACTGAAAGCTACATACATGCAGCAGAACATTGTGAGAGGAAGACTGCTGGCTTTAGGATATGCTCTTCTTCCAGGCCCAAGTTGTCCGACTTTGACAATTTAAATTATTCAATCAAAAACTCATTTCCTCAAATTGACTTTTTAGATATTGCAATGAAGCACATTTTATCACCAAACAGGGAAGGAAAAAAACACTCTCTTACTACATGATTATTTTATCAAAAAACACAAATGGAAGAAGAGGGAGGAGATATAATTGTATATCCCTGTACATACATCCTTGGGGATTTTCATTAAGTGGGTGAAGATTCTTCATTTGGTGGGTAAAAATGCCTTTTGAAGTGTGGCATTCAAGTTCCTTTTTAACCACAAAATTTAGTGTAAACTCCAAAACTCCACTCTCCATTTTCAAAAAACACAAATGAAATTAAAATGTGTGAGTTAGAAAAATACAAAATTTTCAGAACTACTTATTTATTCCTGAAATAATATTAAATTTCAACTGTTCTAGTCATCAAAACTATGATTAATATATGGAAACGGTGTGTTGATATTCAAAAAAGCCAAGCAGCCTACAATAAATACGCCATTCTCCAACAGACTAATTTTCCAGGCTGTGCTTGAAAATAGTCTGATAAAAAACTTTTTAATACCTCTGAAATTTATTTTTTTTCTAAAAAGGAACAGGAAATTAATCCAACACTAACCTGCAATACAACACACAGACACCAAAAAGTATTTAAAAAAAAAGCATACCCTGTGAATATCATTCTGTTTCTGCACTGTGGGGAGATCTCCCCCAATGGGTGCCTGCTGTTTCAACTCATCCTCCTTCAGTTGCAGCCAGGCCAAAAGTTCCTGGAGAGAGAGATGTAAACGCCTCCACTGGTCCGTGCTGGCTTCCAAATGGGACCTGAAAGTACGTGTTAAATATCATATATTTTCAGGCACAGTAAAAACAAACAAACAAAATGTACAAACTTCATTTTCTCATAAAGATCCTAGTGTTTCATCAGTTTATTTATTTATTTATTTATTTATTTATTTATTTATTTATTTATTTATTAAAGTGGCTCTAGCAGCTTTGAATCATATTCTGGAAACTATAACTTAAATTTAGTTTCACAATCCTGGCCTGAAACATCTCTGCCTTTCTTATCATTTTTTTCCCCTTTATACATGGGACCAGTATGAGACCACGTCTCAAAATATATACAGGACTAGTCCAATGTCACTAGTCTCATGCTTTTCTCTCGGGATAATGAGAGACTGCCTAAAATACAGAGACCAGTTTTTCCCCTCACAGAAGCTCTGGTTCTTCTCTAATCCATTACACAAAACATTCTTCCCACCGGATTCATGTGCTTTCTCACCCATAAGACAAGAGGTCCAGGACCTCTCTTTCCCTCCAAAGACACGAGGAAATTGTTAAAACAAAGAAAATCACCCTAAACCACACAAATATATGTGGCATTTGAAGAGACGTTTTAACAAAAATAATCAAATCCCTGAAAACATTATAGGACAGAATACAATGTTATGCTGACAAGGTCCATGCCGTAAGATCTCCAAATGTTTCCTCCGTGTGTGCATGTGCATGCATGCAAATGTATTCTTTAATGCTTCAAATGAAATATTGAGCAACTGCTTTATGGAGTGAAAATATGTGACTTAAACATCTCTGGATTGATCAAATCTTCAACTTTTCTAGGTCAGAGATGAATCATGCTAAAATTTTTTCTTCTTAGACATATGAATACATACAAGAACGTTTCTTTTGTTTAACTGGTAGTTGGGAAGAAACTTCTAATTCATTTTCAGGCACCTTAAGAACTTCTCTTAGTAATTCAAACCAAAAGCAACAGAAAAACTTCAAAATGTTGCAGCAAATAAAAACAGATTTTAACATATTCTTTTTTGCCTAGCTTCCAGCTTTGTTTATATAGCGAACATCCTATTTCTGTAACTCATACAGCAAGAGCTAGAAAGAAATGGCACAAACGTGGTGTTTGTGTCCAGCCAGCTCCTGTCTCCCGCACTCATCCCCCCAGACACAATCCTCCACCTCCTTGAACCGAGGGCTGCCACCAGGGGCAAGCACCCGGCTCCTCATTTCTGCCACAGCCCCCTCTGTGGAGCGAGAGGCCCCGGTACCATCGCTCCGCCCTGACCTTCCCCAGCCTGCCAAAGGGAAGGGGATCCCTTTGGATCACAAAAAGATCCCATCTCGTTGTGCCCTTCCTTCGGCTTTGGGAAGGGATGTATAATGTATGTATACGTGTGTGTGTGCCTGCGTATGTGATACCCAGCTCCCATCTACGTATCCGGTTGCTCAAGCATCTGCAGGCAAAACAGAGATTACAAAGGCAGTTTTAAAATGAAGTCCTTCAAACAAGGAAAGCGTTTGTTCGGGCAAACTGCAGTGACTCATCAGAATGGAAAGAGAAGTGGCAGTGCCAGGAAACGTGGCTTCTCCTGCCATCTGTTGTGGCGCACTGCGCATACAGAAGGCTGCCTCACCTGAGCAGCGAGCGCACTTCTGGCTCCGGCAGCCCAAAGCTGAAGGAAAACACGGAGGGGAGCTCAGCGAAGATCAAGTGATTTCAAGTGAAGATCAAGTGAAGACATTTCCCACCCCTGCTTTTGTACCTCCTCAGTGCGAGCACTGTTCACGAGGAAACCTACGCCGTACGACGCGATGAAAAGAAGCAGCTCCTGGTGACCGCCAAGAGCTTGTTCGTCCTCTCAGGTGGCCAGTAACATTTATACCGCATGTTTTAAAAGATAAGACCTGTTTCTTATCCTGATCAATATGCTGCTGAAAACCTTGAACCTTCTACTGAAAGGAGGTACTTTAGAGAAGATGTCTAATGCAAGAGGTCACTGTGATAAACCCACGTTTTTTAAAACATGAGTTTTTATCTTTCGCTTTGATTAATGACAACAATACAGAGAATCCCATATATTCAGTTACTGATATTTGCCTCACTTGCTGTTTTTCTTTTCTCAAATATCTTTTTATTTGGGCATATTCATGGGTGAAAGACATCTGAAGAAAAAAAAAGAAATCTCAGGGAGACTTTGAAGGGTTATATCACTTTTCTTTAGCTCCTCAGAATAAAAGGGAGGAATGTGCCTTTTTTTTTTTTTCTGTAGCTACTAATATCTTTTCTGCCTCACATTCTTCATTTATTTTTAATGACTGATGTTATGAAGATGGCTTTTGTCATTACACAGACTGACCTCCCTCAGGGCCTGTGCTAAAAAAGCTAATATTTCATACATTACTTCGAAAAACATTCCTGCCTTTTGCTGCCCTCTGAACTACCACCAACACACAGCAAGCAAGCGAATGAAAAAAATGCTGGAGCCTGAATGCAATGGAGCTGGGCTGTCTATTGTAAAAGACATATTTTTGAAGAAAAGCCTCCTGTACAGCTTCTTCTGAAAAGAAAAACTTCAGCCCATTGAAGCCTGGACCTTCACTTCAGCTTTTGTAACATTACCATTTATTACATTTTTCTTGGAAGGAGAAGCTTTTCTTTTATGACACCTATGCTTTTAGTTGGGAATTCTGTCCGGTCCCCAGACAAAACACCACAAATCCTAAACAATGCATCTTCTCATTTGCAAGGCTATTCTTAGTTTTGCACTAAAAATAGAAGCATTAAAAACAAAGCTTATAATAAATATAGGTTGTTTAATTGCTTTCTTTTATGACTCATTGATTAGGCATATCCAGCTATAGAAAAAGCCAAGGGTGCACTTACTGTTTAAATTTGTTAATCTCTCATTCTGTAATTACAAATCCTCATCACATGCCTCCAAACCTAATCCCCTCCTATCTTTTCCACACCAAAAAAGCTAATCTTTCTTACAAAATTAAGCCAGCATTCAAAATAGCACAAATCATCTCTCAATTGATCAAAACGGCCCTATCAGAAACACCACCAAGCTGGCAAAAGGCACCATTCCACCTTACACACCAAGTGTGGGGCTTTCGCTTTCATTCGGATCCTACCTAATGTTCAGAGATTTTTTCCTAAGCTCGCTCCATCTGAAGTTCATGTTATCCAGCCGTCGCTGCAACAAGGCTGCATCATCGGAGCCTTCCAAGGATTGCAGGATTTTCTGCCCATTTTCATCCAGGTTGTGGAAGATGTCAGTATGAGCATCGATTTCTGCCTGAAGATCCTATGGAACCAACAGAGAACAACACATGTGATTATTTAGGAAATCAAAGAATTGACTGCTTCCCAGAAGAGTGAAAAATGCCACCACGTAAAACAGTTACTAAGATGGATTCTGATTACTCTTTTGATGACAACTGTGTGTATTGCATAAACAGAGAGATTCCACTTTCATGTGAAGGCTAGTGGCCTCAGATAACGTCTTTTTTCTTTTTTTTTTTTAAGCATACAGAGCGAAATAAGAGAGCTAAGTTCAAGCAGGTAAAACAGGTAAAAGTCCAGCCTTCAACAGACAACAAATACGCAAGGACAAGACACGTTTACTTTGCCAATGAGACAGGAGCACCGCTGGGGATCTCGGGGAGAGCTACCTGCACGTGGTAGGTCTTCCTGTGCAACATTCTCAGCTTGATCTGGGGGCTGCAGCAGCGGTCCTGCTGCATGGTGCCTCCGAGAACAGTGAGCCTCGCCGGCCGCAGAGCCACCCGGTGCCAAGGGCACTGACAGCCCGTTGGCCGACGGCACTTCAGAGCACGGGCCTCCACTGTGCAGAGCAACAAACAGCCACTTTGTGCTATATCAAAACACTGGTCGGGGCCATGGCCGTAGGAGGGACTGAGAACAGCAAGGTCCCGGAATATGCAAGGGGCAGCTCGGGTCTGAACAGCCAGCTTGTCTCATCGCTTGGTAAGCGCGGGCCAGCCGCGCTCTGAATTCATCTTTCGCCCTCATTTTTCGCGCGGCGGCCTCTGCCCAAAGGACATTCCTGCGCGCGCCGCTGGGGCCGGCGTTCCGAGGCGCCCACGCGCTCAATGGCGCCTTTGTGGAGCCACTGCCCTTCCCCGCGCGCTCCAGCTCCACAGGGTCACGGATGCATTCTGCACACCACAGCGCCTGGAGCCAGCTCTTTACATAAGGGAATATATATATATATATAGATATAGATGATGATAATTCACGCTCTCTACGTAGCCACATCAACCCCAAACACGTTGGCTTTTGGAGCAAGCGGCGCAGCGGGCGCTGAGCGCGGCTCTGCCTCCTGCTGCGGGGAGCCCGGGCACTCGGCCCTCCGGCCGCTCCAAGGGGAGCGCTGGCCGCACGGCTGCAGGAGGACAAGCGCTTCAGGGCAGCCAGGAACATCAGGCCCTGCTGGGAACTGCTCCTGATTTTTTCCCAAAGAAGGGTGATTTGCAGGGGGAAGCACACACCTTGCTTGCTTGGCACGTTCCTAACTCAACTGGGTTTATTTGATGTTCTAAGAGCAGTGCCACTGGATCACGTATAGATCTTCCCTGCCCACCTACCGCTTTTCCAAACGTTATCTGCAGTCCTTGCACAGTAACTACTAGCACTGTATGTGGAGAAACACTGGAAGAGCTTAGGGATGTAGAGGGCAGGACAGCGTTAGGAGATCTTACCCTGCTATTGTACTTTAGCAATGCTCATCCTAGCGCTGAAAGAAGTTCAGAATAGGAGAGCACCAGTCGCCACTGTGCAAAATGCAACTGCACTATAAAAACTGTGTTTATTTATGTATGTCAAATACTCATAAAAATGAAGCATTTTTGTTAGTTCAGGCACTAATGCAGCAAGTGCAGTCCCAGTCTAAGAGTGGAGATTGCACAGGCTGGGAATCTGTAGGGAATGAGAGCTAAGAGTCACTTAGGATCCATAACAAATTTCTAAAGTTTTTCTTTTCCTTTTTTTTTTTTTTTTAGAAGATTTGTCTTTAAAATAGAAATCAATTTGGGAAAATGAGATTCAGCCCTAAAAAGAAATACAAGGAATTCATTCGGTTCCGTAAAACAGGCAAAAAACTTGCCTACTTTGTGACGGAGAGTCAGGAGGCACTTGCGGCTGCTACGGACTTTAGAGAAAGCTGGCTGAGCATTACACGAGTGATACATTTGTACATTTATATAAACATATATACATGTTTCCATCCTCAGAGAGTATTCAAAACCACTTTTATGACAAGTCCTACATGACAGAGGCAACCAGAGTTTTTCACAAGCACCTAGTTTTCAATTTAAATGCACGTTTCATAGAAAAATGTCTATTTTGATTTTTAAAATGCCATTAATAAGACATTTAACCACAGATTAAGTATTTCAGGTTTGAACGCCTTTGCTTGAAGATTTATACTTGATTTCAAGTCCAAATTTTTCTAGTTCACCTTCCAGGCATGGTATTTTATCTTCATTTCAGTGAGCGAAGAGTACTCCATTACCCAATTTCTTCCTCCTCGTCTATGTATGCAAAGAGTTTAATGATGTCTGTCCTTTGGTAAATAAACCAATAGTGATGGAATGGTCAAATTAGTATTCAGGGAAGGATAAAGTTCACTGGAAGAACAGCTCACTTTTAGTGTCTCAGTCCTTTCACATTTAAAACAGGTAAACCCATCGCTCAGAAAAAAATTATCATATGCAGTTCCCAGTGCATAAAATTCTTAATTTCTAGAGTGGCCTTGAAGACATCTGCCTTTTTCTCAGCAAGAACAACATGTGCCATGAATTATGTATGTCAGACACCTGTTTGTAACAGGAAGCTGTCAAATCAATCTTGGTACTTGATAACACAGAATTTCACAAAATTCCACTTCCCCACTTTTCTTGACTCTACAAAACTGTCTCCTGGTCTACATATTCCATACTTTTCTCCTTACACATGCAGATTTCTGAAGAAAAAATTAAGCCATATTCTCTTTATTCCAGACTGCTATATAGTACCAAAATGAAACACAGCAGTTAGCTAAATGGGCAACAAACATGCGAAAGGCAAAGTATTCTTACCACACAAGCTTCTTTTCAGTTCTGATTTCTCTTACTCTAAACTACCTTTGCACACTTTATATTCTCTAAAGCTCCTAAAAATAGTTTTTTTGCAGCTATACAGCAGACTGATGCAGAGGAACAAAGCAGCCCAACAAAAAATAGAGTCATTTAAGTCATTTTAGTTGGTGCAATTCTCACCTCTCCTTTGGGACTCCCTCAAGTCCCAAGAGAAGCAGACTGCAAGCAAAACAAAGGCCTGGATACCTGTACTTATCCTCTGGAACACGTAATTCCCATTTTTCAAAAATACAAGTGAAAGATCAGTATGTACCAGATTCTTTCTCTTGACAAGAAAAAAAAGGAACAAACCATTTCATCTTACAAATGCCTAAAACCTTTGATAAGCTATCCTGGCATTATACATCATACCAAAAGAAGGACTGCAGAATAAATATAGCATATCCATAGCATTTTCATCTTTTCCAGTCTGTCTAAACTTAAGTAGAAACTTCAGGAGATGAAAATCAATATCAGTATAAGTCTACTGAAAATGTATGAGTTGCAACTAGATTTTGACTTTGTACACTGCATTTTTCTATAGTGGTTATTACTCATACTGCGAGGGAATACGTTCTCTTAAAAAGAGCAGCTGCAAACTAAAACATGAATCATGAAAAAATGCATTGGCTAGAGTAAAGCATCAATGACGTGGACTCTTAGCCTAAATTAATATTCAAGTCCTCGTTCTGTTTGAGCACTGTCTACTCCTCCGAGTGGGCTGAACTGCTCAGAAGGAGCTGCTGTCCCAATCAATGGCCAGTTTGCGTACGAATTGCATTGTGAAATCCTCTTTTACTGAAGTTAGATCAGGAAATGCAATATAATGTTTGATCATAGGCACCTTGCTGCATGTTTCTACACTCTTAGAAAGGTGCATTTACTCTACAGGATAAATCTGTACAGTATTTACACTGCATTACAATTCTATTCAATCTATTCAAGATGCATTTTTATATCAAAAGTTGGAAGGTATTTTCCGTATCTTGAAACTATGACGCACATCATGACACAACAACTAGCTTATACTGTGTATTCTTCCTTGATTTTGAGACAGTTTTGAAAGCCTTTAGGATTTCAGTAACAGAACTAGAAACGCTAAAGAAATTAAATAAACTTGTCTTGAGAGGAAAAATGAAAAAGGAAATTTGAGAGGAAATTTTTCTTTTTTTTTCCTGTGCACTGGAAACCTCTACGCCTGATTTCAGGGGGGAAGTTTAGGATGGTACCATGGCAAGATGGTACCCCCACCATAAGGGACTAGGGGCTGAACATATTTCTACCCTGTCAAACCTGGCTCTGTCCCTTGGAAATGTTTGGGATTCTCCATAAAGGTGGAGAAATTCTACACATTCTCGCTACCTTAACATCCCTCCCTGATCTTTTTGGTAGGTAAAAGAAATTCACCTACAGCACCATATGTTTTATCTCACAAACAGGAAAACTAAAACACAGCTCAGCCAAGAGAAACAGTGGCCCGGAAGTCTCGTCAGCTGCCACATAGCAAGGCTGCTCTTGCAACATTTCAGCACGGCCTGGGATCCTTTAGCAGAAATAATTAACTAATCAATGTCAGTATTGCCTTATCCCACAAGCACTATATATATAGGCATGATGTATAAAGGCCATTTTATCTGTGTTATTTTGCCACATTGTGATTTTGACACATGACAAAATCTGCCATTAATTTTGACGGTTCATCACAGAGGGATTGGTAATGTGTCTGCCTTATTCTACTTCGTTTTCCTTAATAAGAGATTGGAAATAAAATAAAGTCCTTGAAAGAAGTAATTAGTTACACTAGTTGTACTACACGAGACAAACTTGGACTTGCAAATTAATGCAGCACAGCTGACAAAACATTTATCTTTTATGCAAGGTAGAAACAAAATTAATTATGCAATAATTTAAGAAATTAAAGCCCTTAAATCTGCCTCTACAAACACAATTCTACCCTTGGAATTGTGCTTTTCATTTCTAATGAAGCATTTTACATTTTCTAGGTGATGCACAAAGTTAACATATTAATGCAATAAATGGAATTAGGGAAAGATGGCTTTGAAATTAAAGACAGCACCACCTGATTAAAGAAGAAAGAAAATAAGAAGCAAACAGAAGACGATCTTTGTTGTCAATTAAAAAAGTAAAGTCAGCCTGCATAATTACC